ATGGAAGAACGGTGATATAACGAATGGACAAGTTGTTGCTGGTGGTAAAGGCCAAGGAAATGGATTACATCAATTGAATAATCCAACTGATGTATTAATTGACAAAGAGACGGATAGTCTCATTATTTGTGATGCAGGGAATCGACGAGTTGTACGATGGTCTCGTCGTAGTGGTACAACACAAGGTGAAATACTCATCGACAACATCTATTGTTATGGATTAGCAATGGATGAACAGAGATATCTCTACGTCTCTGGCTGTGGAGAACATGAAGTAAGACGATATCAATTGGGTGAGAAGAATGGCACTCTCGTAGCTGGTGGTAATGGTAAAGGTAATGGACTCAATCAACTCAACGATCCGAGATATCTCTTTGTCGATCGACAACAGAATGTCTACGTATCAGACTGGAACAATGATCGTGTAATGAAATGGAATAAAGGTGCAAAAGAAGGTATTGTAGTCGCTGGAGGACAAGGCTACGGGAGCGCTCTGACACAATTGTCTTCTCCTAATGGAATCTTCGTTGATACGTTTGGTACACTCTATGTAGCAGACACGTCGAATCATCGTGTAATGCGTTGGACTCAAGGAGACAAGAAACAAGGCACTGTAATTGTGGGTGGAAATGGCAGAGGAGAAGAAGCAGATCAATTCTGGCACCCCTTTGGTTTGTCTTTCGATCGACATGGCAATCTCTATGTCGTCGATGAGCGTAATAATCGTGTTCAACAATTTTCTATCGAATAAGACTTGTGAATTGTTTTTTCTTTGTTCGTTTCTTTTTCTATGCTTTGAAATAAATGAAAAAAAAAAGAAATTTTCTTTTACTCTTTCGTTTCAAAGAAAAGAAAAAAGCTAAAATATAAAAATTACGTCATATGTTTCTTTTCTTCTTCTTTTATTTATTTATTTTTTTGCTTACCAGCTAATAGTTGCTCGCGCGACCAAGAAATACCTTGGTGGTACCATAGAGAGCCAAGGCTCTTCACGTACAGGCATAGATCTAGCATGTATAGAACATACAACAGGAAGATCTATATGCGGCCTGTACGTGCTACGGGCACCAAGGTAGGAATGGCAAGTTTCACGCCGATGTATGGAAGGCTTCCGTAGGACGTAAAATATATACATATATACAAAAAGTTATACTTACTCTTTTTTGAATCACTAAAATAGATAATAGAAAGACAATTATCATTATATAAAAATTAAAATAAATGGGATAAAAAGCTGAGACAATAAAAAAAATAAAAGAACTAAAACTAATACTTACCTATGATATTGAACCATGGTCAGGACGAATACAAGCTAAAATAGTTAAATAATAAACTATACATGTAATATAGTAAGAAGAGAAAGAAAGATGGGGAAGGATTTCTAACGTTGAAAATCATTGCTATTTATAGTCATTTTTGTTATTCGTAATAATTAGACAATTGGTAAACAATCGAGATCAAATAAATTTCATTTCTATTTGTAAAATTTAACATCCCGCTCACTGCATATAGTGGTGTTTGATGGTTTTGATTGATTGCTATGCAATCGATCGTAAAGATCACAAGCATTCCTGAGAGTGGCTAAAAAACAAATNTTTTATGTTCTCGTGTTACATCGTATATGCACTAACAACAATTATTGACGATCTTTTATATTTATTTTTCTAGATGATGTTTTACATATATACAAAAATTGTTCAACGTTCATGACTTATTTTTCAATTAAATCTTGATATGAACATTCAGTTTCTATATTTAAAAACAACAGTAAAGAACAAGTAATGAAAAAGATGAAATAATTCAGGATTCAAAATCTAAAAGTTGCATTTTGTTAGATCATCTTTTTTTTTATTAAATAACAACAATTATTTGATCAACTCCTTAGTCGAACATCTTGTAAGCAAGATCTTGGAATCGTCGGATCG